CATTAAAATGAAAATAACAAGAGATATAGGCAAATCCCTCACAGTGAAACAAAGTCCAAAAAAGCTACTCAACATCATGCTTACTCAGCAATAACTCACACTGTACACTATTGCATACTAGTTATACTGTCTTTATGAGGAAAAGTAATGAGTGCTGTATGTGTATGCATGTAAATAATCAATCAGCCTTTAAAATAAACAACAGCCTATATATAAAAAGCAGAAGGCTAATAGGAAAAGATACAGTCACAGCTTATCCTTTGTACAGAAATCTAAGTTGTGTAAATACGGTGCAAATGCACAGGCTTCACTGCCATGTACTTCCATTATTAAATAATAAAAGAAAGAGAAAAAGAGAAAAAGAAAAATGCTCCAGGCAAAACTATACAAACCCTTTCTTCCCATACAGCAACACATAAATCCTCACAACACATATTTGGATAAGAAAAGAAAAAGAAAAAAAAAATTGACCTAAACAATACAGTATGGCATATGGAGACCACAGTGAGCAAGCTTCCCCAGGGAGATTCGCTGGGCCTAGTGCTGCTGCTGAGGCCTCTGACGTTGCCTTGAGCGAGTACGAGGGGCGGCTGTACCTGAGGAGTGCATGTGGTCATCATAATCATCGTCCGGAATGTGGGGTAAAGCCTTGACGTTGCGGTTCATATCTCCATCAGGGAATTCTCCAGAGCTGTAACTACGCCTCAACTGGTTCACAATGCCGCCTCCACCCTGAGGAAGCAAAGAGAGAGGTATCTATAAATGGTCAATTTTTTATATCTGGACAATAATACTTGTGCACTTTTCAAGTCAATATGATCCACAGAGCATAACTGTCAAAAGAATATTGCATGTGATATAGATAATATGTGATTATCATATTAGGAGAACAAATAAAAACAAAATTATCAAATCTTAACTATTTCTTATTTCTATATTTCTTAAAGAGACTTGAAAAATATGTTAGCATACACTGCTCAGATAAAAGCTAGCAGAAAAAAACAAGAAATGCCATTATGCCTTAAAACTGCAAAATACATACTGCAAAAGTTGTCTTGCCAGCAAGCAAGAAGCTTATGGATGCAGGAAATACTTCAGTACAAGATGCAAATAATTTTTAGTAATATGTATATAAATACAATGTACACACACACACACACACACACACACACACACACACACACACACACACACACACACACACATACACACACACTTATAGTTTTTATTTTTTCAATAAGCAGTGTCTCATTCTCAAAAACGTGAAAAACAATAAAGACCATAAAAAAAGACAACTTTTTTGCCAAAAACTGCAGGAAATGCAAAGGAATTACTACTCATAATACAAAAAAATTCAAAAACCTAATGCTGCCAGGGATGGCATGTGTATACATGCCAAGCCCACTGTAAGTTTAGACTATTAATTGCATTTACACAGATGACACCACAAGTGCTTACTCACCAAGGAGCCAATCACTAGTCCTACCCACCTCAACTGTTTACTGGTTTCTTGATTTTTGGAATTACTTTTCTTTATTCTATATGGCCATTGGTATTGTTTATAACATTATATCAATCATAATACCAATAATAACGATAACAGCATCAGTATAAATAGCACTAGAAAAGAAAAAGAAAAAGAAAAGAAAAGAAAAGGAAAGAAAAAAATCTAGATAAAGTGAAATCAGGTGAGGTCAACATAGACTACTAATTGACTCTTTGGTGGCAGAACTTGCGGAGCTATCTACGTCTAAACACATTTCACAAAATAAAACTACAGTGAAAATTACATATTCCCAGTGGCATTGGGTTAAGATAGCTTTTTTGACATGTGAAAAGATGTAAAATTTACATTGCAACAAAAATTTTGATTATTACTTGTTTGCTACTACTGAAATTGGCTGCATGAATGTGTGTTTTACTGAATTACTCCATGTCTAGCAAATTTAACTGGTTAATGATTCCAGAAGAAGAAACTTCATTTATATCCACACATCGAAAAAAAAAAAAAAAAAAAAAAAAAAAAAAAAAAAAAGGGGGGGGAAGATTTTCTATAATTACAAAAATACACTCATCTTTCATACTGAATTACTTGATAAAAAAATAAAATATCTATGTATCTATCTGAAGCCAGAGATAAAACCTGACATAGTTGATAAGTCCCTCATATTTTTCAAGCTCTTTGGTATGTATCAACCCAAAATCCAGTGGTTGCTACACTCAAACACCACCTACACATTAAGCATACCAAGGTCTCCTTATACATAGAATACGGTAAAAAAAAGTAACATGAGATATTGGGGCCAATTATTGAATATACATTTAGTACTGTAATGAGTGAACTATGTTTGCTACTATCACAGAGAAATGGATATCATACAGTACAGTAAGCAGGTCGAGGAGGGAGAGGGGGGAGGGAGGTGAGAGTGAGATGAGAGTGAGAGTGAGAGTGAGAGAGAGGGAGAAAATGGAGGAGGAGAGGAGAGAGAGAGAGAGAGAGAGAGAGAGAGAGAGAGAGAGAGAGAGAGAGAGAGAGAGAGAGGAGAGAGAGAGAAGAAGAAGAGATGAGAGGATAGAGAGAGAGAGGGGGAGAGAGAAGAGAGATGGGGTGAACGAGCTTAAAATTCAAGGATCCGGTTCGGGTCTGTTCGCAAAAGGACCTATGGAGAAAACAGCAGTGTGGGATACTTGCATTGCAGACTTAATACTGCTATCTAAACTTCTTACATGATAGATCATTCGAGAGATTTAGCTGACTGAGATAGATAACACAAGAAAAATAGTATCATGAGGCATATAAAGAGACGTCCAAGTAGAGTAATACAGAAGAACGAATATGAAATACCTGAAAGCAACGCAGGTTCGTGACATAGTGTAGGATTGCTACCTCACTTATGCTGGACTTCTAAGCACTGAGCATCAAAGCAAGGATTTTATTGAGACAAAGTTTGTGATGACGGAGTGAAGAGAAATCAAGAGACTATGATTTAATCGACAGACTATGGACATTAAAATAAAATCGAGACCAGACCGAGGAAAATATGAGAAATGATGGGTGAAGTAATTTAGTGAGCCTCACTCGTCACAACACGTGGATGAGAGCATAACTTTTAGAGACAAGGGTGCTTGCATACGAGGAAGAAACATACATGCGCCCTGGCCCCCAGGGTAGGCTTATGCCATCCGTGCTTTTCATCTATTGTATGTGCCACAACAATCCACATAAACAAGCCGATCGCCTAGCGTCCCTGGCGTACCATAAACGCTTATCCTGATGTGTGTGTCCATATCCAACCTCTCTACTTCAATCCGTCTTCGAACCGAAGCAGCTTCCCAAGCAACCCTACTAACCAAGCACCCACACACAAAACGCAACGACCAACACACCCACACCAACCGGTCACACTACCTATCAAAGACGGCCCGATACCAACCGCTACCAGCCTCGCCCCGACCTTAACCGGCCTGCTCCCCGCCCTTCCACATTTCGATCACGCTTCACCAGCTGATGACCACACCTATAGCTTCCTAAGCAAGACATGCCTGATCTGCCTATCACATCCAAACTCCCTAACCTAAGCATGTCTTACATACGGCGACCCGTGCTATCCCTAATCTCTAAAATTGCTTCTTAGCCGATCCATGCTTCCCTACTGTAAGCGCGAGCGTCGTCCTAATGCGATGCTCGTGCTTCCCGATAAACTAACCTTCTTTCCTAGCCGAACGCGCTCATCCTCTCAAACATCTTGACCATCTAAACGCCTGCTTCACCAAACCTAACGCGAGACCAGCCGCAGTCCTGTCCTTCCCTAACCCTAACCAAGCTCCCTTTCCTAGCCCGATTCTCGTTGTCTTCCCTAATCTATACCGATCTTCCTCAGCGATTCGCCTTCTTCCGTAAACCTAACTCCTGCTTACCTAGCAGATCACCAATGATATCCCAAACCTAACCGTATATTCATTCTCGAATCGTACCGTCGCGTCCTTAACCTACCGTGCTCTCTACCGAATCTCCGGCACCTCCCTAACCTAAAGATGTGCTCCTTAAACCTAACCTCTCCTAGCTGATCGCGTGCTCCCACCTAACGTGCTTCTTACATCGCCTGCTCCCAAACCTACTGCTCTTACCATCACCCTTCCAAACCAACCATCTCCCAAGCCTCTAGTTCCCTAAACTCAGACCTATTAAATACGCCAAAAATACCTTCTAACCGTCTACACCCCCCATCATTCCCGTACTCCCTAACCTACCATCGACCGCTTCACCTAACTAACCGACTTCCTACCATCCCTACTCCCCAATCAAGCACCGTCCTTAGGCATCGCCGACTCCCGATACCTAACATCCTTCTCTATGGCAATCACTGACTTCCCTAACCTACAACACTCTCACAACGACCCCGTCTGCGACTATACATAAACACTAGCGTCCTTGCCCATCGCCTCTTCGCCTAACCTAAGCTGCTGCCAGCCATCACGTATCCGTTAAAATAAGACTATTCATTACATCGGCCGAGCCTAACCAATGCCCTCACTAGCGATCCGCTGGTCCCAACCTACCGTTTCGTGTCTTACCGATCTCGTGCTTCTCCTGAACCTAAGGCTGCTTCCTAGACCGATTCTTGCTTCCCTAAACCTAGCCAGTCTCCTAAGCTGATCGGTCTGCTTCCCCCTAAACCTAAGCCGTCTTCTAGCCTGATCCCAGTTGTTCCCGACCTAAACCGTGCTTCCCAACCTAAAGCCTTGTCTTCCTTACCAATCAGCCACGTGCTTCCCTAACCTAAACACCATGGCTTCCTAAGCGATCGCCATGACATTTACCCGAAACCGTAAAACGCGAATGACTTATGCACCCAAAGAACCTAGAGAGGACATGTACTATCGACTAGAGAACCTAGATCGCACACATGGCTACGAGTACACGACTAAAGACGCATAGGCTCACTAGAGAGAGAGCAAAGAGAGCCACTAGAAGAAAAGGTATACGCAGAAAGACAAGAAGACGAGACACGACATGCATATCAGAACGAACTGAGAGCACACAGAGACGAGAAGCAGCTGAAAGCAGAGAGAAGGAAAAGAGAATACGAGACACGAGAAGGCGAGATCGACGCAAGAGTAAGCACGAGAGAAGAGAGCACTACGTACGAGGACAGTCAAACGACGAAAGATCGACCAGTAAAGCAGACGACATGAGAGAGCGAAGAAGCACACAATGACATGACGAATGTACAGCTAAAGCAAAGAAGGAGAGAGAAGAGAGGAAAAGTCATACCCATATGTAGTACTATGTATAAAAAACTCTGAATACCTATTGCCTATATTACACTTAACTCAAATTGTACACCCCACCCACTTAGGATTGCTACACACCGGACAATCTCATTTCTCTACCAATTAGACACAATAACACACACCAATATCTCTTCTCATATGAAATCCCACCAAACGTGCTTAACACATTAAACTTATCCGGCTTCAAATACGCCGAGAAGCGTGCGACACTACAGAAAACTTATAGTTATATACCCATTTGTTAAATACAAATCAAATCCATATAACCGTATAACACATGTTGCTATTGAGTGCTAAAATTACCCTGTGAAACCCATCCCCACCGATTGCCGACAACCTGGACAACCCACCCATGATGAGCAGAAGCTGCCGATGACTTCCGCAAACCAGAACCACAGATCCAGACGCAGTCTCCTTCACTTGCAGCCGAATATTCCTACCTGATCCTTATACAAAATAACATCATGTGAATGAACAATGACAGATGAACAAACCACAAGTCTCTCAGAAGATGCCACTTCAAAAATTACACTAAGGAAGAAAAAATCGTCTGGTAAGCCACCTCGCCCTTATAATCACATATCTATCGCACTTACACATCCAACAAGATACCTATATAACCAATGCAGAGTCATTACGCATACCTCAGAGCCAACAAATGAGCAAAGTCCTATACTATCTCACTAACTTGATATTCAGTTTTACTAGATATCTATCAGCCATAAGGTCCTAAGAAACAGCCCGTGTAGAAACTATACTAATAGCGACAAAAACAATGCATAGATATAGGTAACCCACTTTCTTTCCCCCTACCGAAACCGGACTATATTACTATGACTCTCTCACTCCACATCTACCTTCCTAGATTCAAAACAACACACCACCCATAAATACATTCCCCTACTTAAACTTTTAAACACAAAATGCCACAATCCAATAATTCTAACAAATAAACACAACCTCTCCCTTGTTCCAGAGATCTCTTCTAGACACATCACTGAGACTATAGCACCACCATCCCTGCCCATAGCGCATAAAATGCCCATAGAGATCTATCAACCTAAGTATGTAGAAAATACTGCCGTATCACTTTAAAAGTCTATCTATAAGAAAAAATCCGTACACACACAACGTCTGATATGATTGAACACAGCTACCATTAACCTTCAAGAGAATCTTACCACCTCCTCTCACCGTCCGTCCTAATACGGCCCGCACTAGTGGCTAAACCGAAACCTGAAAAAGCCTTGACATTATATGCTTATATGCCTAAATAAAGAGACACCGATTCTCACTGCATCTCTCACCACCGGAGTTGGATCCCAGCTAACCCTGCGTCCGCTCCACTTTGAGCCTGGATCTCCAGATGACTTGCCCCTTAATAGCCTCTGAATCAATCAGCTCCCGTCGTCTTAGTCTTATTCGCCCCTTTAAGTCCCGGCTACTAATCACCGTGTGGCGATCAGCCCTGCTGACATTGCCTGCTTGACATTGCCAGGTTATCCATTATCATCTCGCTCCCTGCGGCGTGAGCCAATATGGTGTCCTCATAACAACAGCAACAATCTTACCCTAGACGATACTCACCCCGTGTCAACACTAACGTCAGGCTACTCCACTAGCACCCACCCGCCAGCCATCTGCCCAGCTTGTTGCATTGCCGACATAATCATTCACCAGCAATATAAAAAACTCAGGACTTCTCCTTAATAAGTCACTATACATCTCCGCAATGTCAAACAACTTAATACCTGAAAAAGAAAACGCTATTCTCTATCCCTCCCCCACAAACCACAGAGTCTTACTAAAGTATATATATAAAGAATATATATTAACATGAAACACATGTAAAAACAATCACCAAATCATACATATACACCAAACTCGAGTAGACCGTGCCTACCTACAACACACCCACTAAATCTCCCCCCCATAAAGACCCGAAGCTATCTAACCCCCTCTTCCTCCGACACATATTGCACACCTAAATAGAATCCGCTAACCACTAATGACCTCACCCAGCACCCTCCCATACACCCCCCAAACCCCTTCAAAATACCCAAACCTACCCGTGCTTCATCAAACACCTGAACAGGCATCACTCCTCCACACGTTAACGACGTCAGACTAGCTATCGCCAAATTTTCTACCTAGAAAACTAATCACAAACGCCTCCCTTATCCCCCTTCCCTCTACACTTACCTCATAATAGAAGGGGAACCAGAAGCTAAGGAAAAGGTCCGTCAGTGTCTCGAAGCATGTGAAGAAAGCAAACACGATCCAATACATCATCCATTTTACCTGAAAGAGGGAGACGAAATGTTAAAATGTGCAAAGACATGACTTGGTGAAAAAATACAATTGAATGCAACACAGACAAGATTACAAGGGGCTCCTTTCACAATGCAGACGATGATTTGTGTAAATAATGGCCATGATTCAACAACAAACATTTTTCCTGTAATATCAAAGCCACTGTAATAAACGACAGTAACTACTAATAAACATAAAAAAATAATAATAATAATAAAAATAGATAAAAAAAATCACCACTCTTCAGCAATATCAATTTGTATACTGAGGTCAAAATTACAAATATTACTTACACTTCTACATTCAAACAGACAGACAAACACACACACACACACACACACACACACACACACACACACATACAAACACACACACAAACACTGAATGTCACTCAAAGAAAAAAAAAAGTAAAGAACTTGAGGTAATACCAATATCAATAACCCTACAAAAAACAACAATAGCAGTAACACCGACAACAGAACAATAAGAACAATAAAAACAATAAAAAAGGATATCCCACTCTCCCCCCCCCACCCCCACCCCCACTCACCCAACCTGCACACCTTCCGATTGACAGGTGAACACAGGAGCCACACACGAGATCGACCCGGGAACAATCGCGCATTCAAATATCAGAGAAAAGAAGAGGAGAGAAAGAGAGAGGGAGAGAAAGAGAGAGAGGGAGAACAAGGGAGAGAGGGAATGAGCGGTAGGTAAAGATGGAGGTAGAAAGGAACATAGGAGGGTGGAGAAAGTTACGGGAAGAGAGTGAATGAAGGGAGCAGCGGAGAGGAGAGGAGAGGAGAGGAGAGGAGAGGAGAGGAGAGGAGAGAGAGAGATGAGAGAAGGAGAGGAGAGGAGACGGAGAGGAGAGGAGAGGAGAGGAGAGAGGAGAGGAGAGGAGAGGAGAGGAGAAGGAGGAGGAGAGGAGAGGAGGAGAGAGGAGAGGAGAGAGAGGAGAGGAGAGGAGAGAGAGAGAAAGAGAAGAGAAGAGAAGAGAAGAGAAGAGGAAGAGAAGAGAAGAGAAGTGAGAAGAGAGAAGAGAAGTGAGAAGAGGGAAGAGAGAGAGAGAGAAGGACATAATGCGGATAGACAGATTGACTGACGGACGGACAGACAGGAAAAAGACGGAGGACCTCGCCCATCCATCACCTGCCAATCTACCTGACCATTCACTGCATGGAACTCGAAGTAAACAAAACCTACGTCTGCCACGCGTGTCTCTCTCTCAGCTGACTTTGGCGAACGAGAGACGTGAGAAGATAAAGAACTCTTGTACATTTACCGTCTCGAGAGTCTGCCTTCGTGTCTTCCAAGAGCATATTGTCTCCATTGTGTGACGGCTCTTGCTCGTAAAGAGATTAATTCGGGGAACCTCTCTCTCTCGTTCTCTTACAATCCCTTAATCATTCTCTTTCTCAATTTCCCTTACAATCTTCCATTTACCTTTCTCCCTCAATCAATCCCTTAATCATTCTATTTTCCCATTTCCCTTACAATCTTCCCTTACCTTTCTCCTCAATC